TATTACTTGAGTATGTGTGTGTACTTCTCTGTCGGTTAATATCTGTACGCAATATTGCTCTTGAATTAAACGAATTAAAAAAGCCCGATGCCAAAATAAGGTCATCATGGCTCAATGACCCAAGAAAAATTCATTTCATAATTAGGTTTTTGAGACTTCCAGTGTATCTGATATATGAGCTGCATTCACCATGCTTCATTTAAGATGATTAAGGACTGGTAGTAGAATTTTCACACAATGGTATGAGTAGGCCTCATATTTCCACTGATTTTCACATGACCTTTCTTCTTAATAGGTATTCTCATCCAGACTGGACGGCCGTCTCGATCTCGCAAAATAACTTTGCTTCTTGGGCAAACCTAACAGAGAATTGTGATACGAGAAAGGCCCAGGATTTCTTAAAATTCACTTTGCTCTGTCATCTAAGGGCACTCGTGGCAGTCACGTAGTGGTAAGCGCGACAAGGTTATACACTGCATCACCATGGTTCGAGGCCGGGTGTTGATGAGACTTATACGAGGACAAATCTGCAGTCTTCACTGGATGGGAAGCAAATTTATGTGAAATTCAGTGGAAACACGAGGCCTACTCATATAATTGTTGAAAAAATCACACTATCTGTCCTTAAATCACATTATGCTACCTAGACTAAGTGCTTATCGGAGATTTTTTGCAAACATAGCTGACATGTTCTCATACCTATAGGATAAATAGAAAATAAAAGAATATGGCGTTGAAGTCATCAGTTGTGCAAAGCTAGTTGCTTGTAATCATGATGTATTTGTGACCGTGCTGAGGATGGATGAACAGGAGACTGAGGGTGTGTTGCAACAGGACAGTCGAAACGGCTTGTTTGAGAAGTGCAGCCATATGGAAGATGTCATCATGAGGCGTATCGGTGTTGCTCTGATCTGGCACCTGAAGCAAAGTCGTTGCTTCCACCAAGTCAGAATAGTAAGTTTTACCGGATTCAAAGCCACGATCGTTGGGGGATTTTCTTGCGAGATAGACGCTTTGGTGGGTCCAACTCTCTTTATCATCTAGCAGATGCGGACGTGCTTTATAAAGAAGCGACATACGCTGAAGCGGCACATGTTAGAGACAGCGCACAATGGACATCCAGTTCAGCGGACGATACGATGCTATAAAAAGTGTAGCAGCATCGGGAATTCCTATAAGGCAAACTGCACACACTGCACACAATGGAGGCTCGAGAATGCATAGGCAACCCTTGAGAGGAAGATGGAGCCCTGGAGAAATCGAGCCTAGTAGCAGTTCTTTTTAATTAAACCCTTGCTTCTCATTGGTGCCACGCGATTTGTACATTGGTTTTTCTCGGAATAAGTAGGCTTTGTTAAGTTCATAATTATTCAACTTTCATTTTGAGTGAAAGTGTTTGGTCAAGCCGATCCCAGCAGAAGACGACTTCGGATTCCTTTTGACCAGTTGTTGATTGGCTTTATAGAAAAATTCGTGTTAACACTGTTTCCGAAATCTTCATTAATTCAGATGAAAGCGTGTTAAGCCTTCACTGTCGTATGCTGGTCATCCTCACAGCAGGGCATCATCTTTACAACCATATTCAAATAAATGAGTCAAGAAAACCCACCTGTTCATTACTAAATGCTGTATTTATACTTCATATCTAAGCTCCTTGATGAGGTATAAAGTTATTTGATTAGTTTGAGTCATGTGCCAACCCAGAAGCATGTGAATGTGTCAGCCTGTGTGCGCATGCGCTTGCATGTATACGTATGCGTACGAAACCACCAGTGATGGCTAAAAGTAATTAGAACAGAAAAAATAACGTATTTTCTCGGCAATCAAGATTTGATGACCGCCATCGCCTCCTTCCTATTATATCATAACCTTTACTCCGATTGCTCAGTTTTGTTATATTCATGATGTTGTTCATTGGGCACAGTCTGCTAGGTGAAATAATAGGTTTGATAGGGCTGGTGGGATTTGATTGGTCAAGATGAACGATGAGTCAGGATATGAAATATTCACAAGTTGTCTTTGTGTAAATTGTCGACTTGGCGATAACTACAAAGGTCATGTGACGAGATAAGCCATTGTGGTAAGAAGTAAGGGTAGGTCACCACAACCTAATGCGTTCCACTCTATTTAGATGCATTCGCTGCAAATGCATGTCATGTTTCTGTCTTGAAATTAGGGTTTGAGCTAATTTTGTGCAATTTCTAAAAGATTGGCCTCTTCCCAACTTTTTATCTCAAACAAGAGGCTTAGATGCACTTTGGCTAGAGACAACTTCCAAAATGGTTCGCATTCCTAATTCTACATACGGATTTAATGAATTTCGCATCTATGGAATCTTCGTAAAATCCCAATATTATGATTGAAACGCTGAGGAGTTCAACTGCTACTCGAAGGCTTTCAGATGGCTCTATCTGGTAGTTCATTATAAGCTGGGATTGCGCCTTAAGATCGAGTTGTAGGTCATTTATTTTTATCTATCGTTGGCCCAGCATCTTCGCTGATTTGTATAAAGTTGCTTTTAGGTTAAATTAAGCACACTATGTCTTCGTTATACTATTTGTTGGAGGGCTATGATGCAGTGGTATGCATTTATTAAACAAAAATACTCTAAAAACGAGGTGGATATCCTCTTGTGAGCCTTTAAAATATTAGGAACTATTTTGTAATTCAACCTTGGTTGCGAAGATCAACAACAATAAAGGTGAAAATATCGAATTGTCCATCCCT